CAGAGTGAGCTCCTTGCTACGTCTATTGGACGATCTCGGCCCAGCTCCTGGCGAAGGTGCGTGACCTGCCGCCCGGAACGCCGATCGGGTTACAACTTCACATAGGTTCACCTCAACACAAATTTTCATGACCCAGCAGTATGTTAAGCATCGAACATCTTTGCTCATTTTCCAACATCCAACACCAACATCCACAAAATGCAAATTGAATATCTAAGGCTTGATCACGAAGACCACATCTTCAGATATCTACATTGCACTAACACTCTTCTTCAACCACTTTCAAGATCTAACATGAAGCCAAAACATTAATAAGAAAAATGACATATCAAGGTCTAAGGAAAATCCCTCATCACTCAAAATAACAATACTAGTTCCACTAACACAAGTTCTAGTGATGTTAATGCCTCAATTACACATCTTCTCCATCCAACAATCTACTCTAAGTGCTAATGGATTAATTGACAAGCTATAACAAATGAATGCTACAACTTTTTCCAACACCTTATAGGCAAACTTAAGGAAACAACGTACTAACTCAAGCTTAGCATAATGAATCACCATTGAGAACTTAGTCAAAGCTACTTAAATGCTACTATATAAAGTAGACTAGCTTCATTATCACCCACTTTGGGGTTGATCATCGTTTAACTAAGCAACTTCGTAAATACATTACTCACTATCATATGGATATGATAAAAAAATCACAATAACTTGATCATCAATCGAGCAACACTATGAGTAATGCCTATGTCACTACTACAAGGTTTATATGAGTATCAAGTGCTAACTCAATTTGATAAAATGCAACATAAATGCCACACCCCACTGATAAAGATTTACAACACTCAACACCATTAATTTTTGTTCACAACACAGACAAGCTCATGCCACTTTCTTTCTGACCAAACTCAAAATTAATCCAACACTAAGCTACTCAATGAGCAATAGCAAGGTTCCCTGGAAAAGATTAAGCATTGTAACCCAAGTCTTTCAATGGCAAGCCTAAACAAAATAATTTAGCGCTTCATCGCTATCCATCCCATGACTCACCATTTGTAAGATCATCACTTCCAATATGCATCAAAGTAGGGACTCTTGATTGCATGATGTGAATATGAGCAATGAGTTAACACCTCGTTGCAAATCATCTCTCCAAGAAGAGAAAATGATTTACGTGTTTGATCCTTTGTCCCTGATAATTTTCTTTTCAATCCCATCTTTGACTAAACCTTAAGCTTGTGTTTGCACTACATTCAGTCCAATCTAAGAAAAGTTTATGAGAGAGCATGGCAATGATTACTTAAACCAATGGACTAATCTCTATAATCTTGATTGGTTCACTTATAATCATGCCTAAGAAGGATCCACTAGTGCCGTGCTAAACAGCTATAGACTAGCCTATTTGCCACTCATAGCAAACCCAAGGGAGGTTTACTTTCACCTGGGGTACAAGGAACAACTCATGGAACCATTAATGGGCTAACATTAATTCTGCCAACTCAAAGCATAACCTTGAGTTGCTAATGTGCCACACTCCCAAGCCCAAGTGCAAACTTGTGCTAATATGCCTCACTCAGTCCATCTTATGAGCCCAAGAGCAAGCTCACATAATACAGTACAAAAAAGTAACCAAAATCCATACCCAAGGAATAAATAAGAAGCTTTTGCACCCAAACATGTAGCCACTCGGATCATCATTTTTATCTCTACGTATGCAACAAGATTAGTGGCCCAATTTCATTGGATAGTACTTGCTGAGACTCACTCTTTGATACCAAATGTAGCACACGTGGTTTTTACCCTTTATCCTATGGTGATTTACTATAGGATAACCATGAAGCGGAACCTAACCCACCATGTGCCACATGACATATGCCACATATCCAAAGGACAATGGTGTGGAACCCAAGTTTCAGGGCTTGGGGCCATAAACGAAGGAACGGTGCCAAACTCCTAAGCATAGAGCCAAGGAGCAATGGCATTGGGACACGGAATAATTCCTGAGTATAAAGCCTAAGGAGCAAAGGGACAAGAGCATAGAACGGCTTGGAATAGTCCTAGAGCATTCAGCATCTTAATGCCAAAATGAGCACGCAAAACGGAGTTAAATGGAGTTAAACGGAGTTTAGCACTATTTCAGCATACCGATAACCTAATGCGAGGATATGGGTACTCCACCAACTAATATGGTATGGAACTTGGGCTTAGACCTAAGCCGGACGTAGAACAAGGAGAGACACGCAAGCAGGAGCTAAACTATGCCTCAGGTTAGTCAACCATGCCTGACCTACCCACTATCCCTACTATACATTTGGAACCCCCCCACACACTTTGGGCTTTCACCCCAAGCCTCCCTTAGTATCAAGACTTAGTCTTTGAGACAAACTTGAAATTTACTAAATATGGAATGTTTCTATATTGCGAATTTAGACATGGGACGAACACTATTGTGTTCAAGACAATCTCTACATTTTGTAGATATGCCAAATGAGTAAATTTAGACACTTTCCATAAATAGCATTTAGGATTGGAATGAGACTAACACAAAGGGCATGATAGCAAGGGTGTTTAGCAGACACGGTAAATTATTATTCAATGATATTAAGAGACCAAGCTTAATATTGCGGGGGTTCCCAACACTAGCAAGTGTAAGTTAACATCATGAGTTTCTCATCACCGTATCAAGTTTTCTTGACTAAATGACAATTTAGGATTTCCTTCCTTAGTGCCCTTCCGGTCCAAGTGCACATGTGCTAACCAATTTCTCAACTAGCTTAGGTGGAGACTGATAAAGGATCTAACAATGCCAACCTCTTGCCATCATAGCAGTAAGAAAAGAATGTCCATAAGGACTAGTTGACAAGTAACTTTCGATACTCAAAGTCACATTCGTGACAAATTGCTCAACTATAACCATATAGCATCAAGTAATTGCACTAACTGTTACTTCAAAGTAAAAAAAGGAGGAGGTTGTTACTTTGTCATAAAGATGAACAAAAAAGAAAAAGTAAAAGAGAAGAAATTAAAAAAGGTACAAAGAAAGTGAAATCTAAATGATGCAAAAACTAAATCTAAACCAAAAGCACAAATCCAAACATTTCTCATGGATAATCAAAGATGCCCCTCACATCCATCAATGTGAGTGCATGGAATATAGAACTGCAATATAAATATGAAATATATAAATTAGAAATATTAATTTATATACAGGAGTAAATGGTCCAGACTGAAACCAATCCAACAGCTATCAAAATCCCACTATGCTAATATTAACATATGACATTGTAGTTGTACACTTGGACTTTACAGTGTGAAATTTATATTAAAAGTTAATTTTTAAACTTTTAAAATATTTGATCTCTTCAACATTTTTAATTAGTATAAGGAGTAATAATTTAATGGCAAAATATATATTTAAAAAATATAATGCCATAAAAGCTTAGGCTTGACATTTTTATGATTGTATAAGTTAGTTAAACTTGAAATATTCTTAGAAAAATACTAAGATCCTCCTATAAGTACTATAATTATTGCTACACTTTAAATTCCTTATTCATAAAAACTAAAACCATCTTGTTTTGTTTATAAACAATTGTTCTTGATAGGTTTATGTATCCATTTAATTTATAATAACAGCAAAGAGAAAAATATAGTAATTTCATCCTATCCACAAATTTATGCTTAAATATGTAATCATTTAACTTTAGAACATTATGGTTTTCAAAATCTTCCAGATATCTATTTTTATTTATTTAATTGTTTTAAATAAGCCAACTGAGGATTCAATGTTTATATTGATGACCTTTTAGCTCATGGATATATAGATTTCTATATATATATAAGTGGAAATACACTTGAGAAGAGGAAATCTTTCTGATATATAATTATTTTTTGCATGTAATCTAATGGTTTACACTCACCATATAACTATAGCTCAAAACTTGTGATTTTTCATGAATATAATAAAAATTGTAACTAAATAATCTATTATTCTTTTATATCCTAACTCCTTTAGCAGAGTTAGGATCCCAGCTAGTAGATAGAACTAAATAAGTTAAATATATTTTTTAAGGTATATTCTAGAATATTTGAGTTTGTAAAACATTCTCCAAAAATCATATTATATAAAATGAAATTATTTGTAAATAGTAAGTGACTTGAAAAATGATCTATAAAATAGAAGGAAAGAGCTTATAAATAAAAGTGCACTCTTTTTTTACAATCAGTTAAAATTTTTGGGTTACATGTCTTTAGATTTTTGATACCACATTTAACCTAATACTACTTAACGGTTTTGGGTTTGACTCTATTAGTTGAATTGATATTTAATAGTCCAATTTAAAGTCCAAATTTAGATAGCATGCTTACAGCACTCTAAATCTGAAAAAACACATATTAAATGCTCTAAATTTGAAATAACACATACTCCATGCTTGCTTAACAAGTTTCAAGGGGGTATTTAGAACCATGCATTACATTTAGCTTTGAGCACTAATGAGGATGTTACTTGAAAATTAGAGCTATAGTAGTATAATTTGGAGTGGCTAAAGAATTCACATAGCCTCATTATAGTAATAAGCCCACCAAACGTTCTCCTTGACTTGTTATAGTAGTAGGCTTGCCAAATGTTCTCCTTTGCGCTCATTTCTTGAAGCATATGATGTGGTGTGGGATCTGATAGGAACATTTTCTTTACTCACTAATATGCCACAACTAAATAGCCATGGAACATGTCTAAATCCACCACTAGGTTCTGCAAGAGATTTGCCACTCAATATGGCATTTTTTTCATGTCATATAACCTTTTTGGTCATGACATTAAAACCAATGCCAAAAATTATTCAGAAGAGTCAAAGAATATGAAACTTCCAGAACTTCAAAAAAGTACTAAACGACCGATGGCACTCACATCAGGGAGCCGTATCCCACACTGACACACAAATCTCCATGACTTCTATTGTCTTGCTTGACAAGGTTAATTGACTTGGTGAAGATGGAAATGGCGCAAGAACTGCTGGACGGACCGCTGCACGAGATCAAAGAAACCAGTAAGTATGATTTCCTCTTCAACACCCATCAGTGCCAGTACCTGCAAAGCCGATGCTCCGTGGTCGAAGAATACGTGCGGCTTTGGCAGAGCTGCTCTGAACTTGAGCCACTTCCCCTGGCCATGGAAGAGCTCCGTTGTATGCTAAGCAGAGCCTTGCAGCTTCTCAAGCAGTGCCAGCACGAGGAATGGCTGTACCATGCTGCAGTCCGGCTCACTGATTCCAGAGCCTTTGCGGAGATCTGCCTGAGTCTGAGTAGATTGACGGCCTTGGTCAATGCTCACATGATGCATTGTGCCACGGATATTGGGAGCCCGGATGTGCAGTACCTCATGGCCATGCCTTACAAGCGCAAGCACATAGAGAACCTGCGTTCAGCGATGGAGGACCTGAGTCCCTGCGCATCAAGAGATAGAAAGGAGCTCTTCATGAGAGCAAATTCCATCACAGAAACTGACAACAGGTATGTTCTGGCACAGTACCTTGTTAAAAAGCTGATGTCAAGCAGAGGAGGAGCCGTTGCCACCATTCAGGCCCTCGAACTGAAAACTTTGATAGGTGCGGGTGCATTTGGTTCTGTGTACAAAGCTGAATGGGTAGGGGCACCAGTTGCTGTGAAAGAGTTTAGAAGCGGTGATGCTTCAGTTGACAAGGAGGTGAACATCCTGAAAGAACTTATTTTAGAACCGCACCCGAGCGTGCTCCAGATGATAGGATCCTATCAGAAGGATGAGAAGGCTTACCTTGTCATGGAGCTGATGGAAAGGGACCTGACCAGTGTTATAAGGAAGGCTGAAGGCTCGCTGCAACTTTTAACTTCTGTAGACATTATGCTCCAGATCGCAAGCGGCATGAGCTACCTCCATCAAAGGAATGTGGTTCATCGAGACCTCAAGCCTTCGAATGTCCTCGTTAAGACATTAAAGAACCATGCCTGCATCACCTGTTTCGACGTGAGGTTAACAGACTTCGGAGTCTCAAAGTCGAACTTTATAAGCTTTGCACCGGACTTGTCTTACCAGAGGGGGACGATCCAATACATGGCTCCAGAGATGCTGAAGGGCCAGAAGTACTCCAGAGAGGTTGACGTATACAGCTTCGGAATTACTTGCTTCCAGATCTTGACTGGAACGCTGCCATTTCAGGACGATGGCAAGCAGCTGGTGGCAGATAAACTGGTCGAGACGATCGAAGATGGAAATAGGCCTGACCTTCCAACAGGCTGTCCACTGGAGCTGGTTGCTCTCCTCAACAGGTGCTGGAACAGGAATCCGAAAGATAGACCAACCTTCGAACATATATCCAGGATGCTGTGGTCGCTAAAAGAAAGGTTGCTTGGTGGCCACAACCTCGAATCCAGCTTCACAGGCAGTGAGATGTCCAGTTGCAACGCTGCGGAAGAGCTCACACTCGCTGCAGGAGATATGATCTGCCAGATTTCAGTTGCTGCTCCGTTCACAAATTTTCATCAGTGCTACTTCTTGCAGTCGCGGTGCAAGCAGATTTCCAGCTACCGCGAATTTCCGAATAAGCTGCACCTTCGTTCATGGTTTGCCGTTCAGATAAAGCTGGTGACTACCTTGAGAACTGCGTTGTCGCTGATAGAATCTTACAGTGAAGAGAGGTGGCTGCATACGGCGGTGCTGAAAGAGCATAACCCGAGGGCATTCAGAAAAGCTCTTGATGATATCAACAGATGTGAAACCACATTGAGAGCCATAAACCCTGGTAACCACAGCAATAACATAATGACGTTCCCTGCTGTTCCTGAGCAATATGTGGAAGATGATAAAAAGAGACTGGCAGAAAGCATTCAAGGCTTACTCGATGCATCGGACGGGGCGACAGTTAAGTTGGCAAAATATTTTGTTCAAAAGTCAGCTGCTGATTCGATTTTTCCGTGCATCAGTCCAGAGGAAATCGTACTGCTCGATTTGGTAGGAATGTCAAACCATGGGACGATGTTTAGAGGAAGATGGCTGGACGTACCTGTGATGGTGAAAGCCCTTGGAACAGGAAATGAAGCTGAAAAGCTCCTGAAGGAGCTTGACAAAGGGCACGCAGAACTTAGAAACAGGCCCCATCCAAATGTAACGCAAGTTATCGGCTACACAAGGCACGGGGAAGACTTGTTTGTGGTGACCGAGCAGGTCTCTGGAGGCCACTTCCGAGTGACAAAGTTCCCTCTTGTATTGACCATCGAGATCCTGCTTCAAGTTGCTCAAGGCGTGGCCTACTTGCACCAACATAACTGCGAGCTCTCGGACTTGAATACGCTGCTGGTGGAATTTGAGAAAGGCCACTTCGACGAATTCACCGGTGGCATCACTGTCAAAGTTTCAGCTCGATCCAACTTCAGAAAACAAGATGGACAAAATAGCTTGAGTACCTTGGCTGGAAGGCTGAAGTATCCGTTCCACTTCCCCCATGCACCAGCGGCGGACTTCAGGAAGACCGATGCGTACAACTTTGGTATAGCCTGCGCAGAAATGATCACCGGGCAAACCATCGGGGAAGAAATACTGCTCTCTGGAAACCTACCGCAAGTCTCTCACGATTGCACGGGAATCAAGGCTGTAATAGAGAAATGCCTGAGTTCGCAGCCTCCTGACTTCCATCAAATCGTGGAACTCCTGCAATCAGCTCAACTTAGAATGGAGTTTCCACCTACAAGCGACATAGACTACCGACGGATGCTTCTGGACTCCAGCGCTCAAATTGAACTCAAGCTCGACATAACGGGAGCCGCAGTAATTGGTGGCAAGCTCATTGCTGTTGGAATCGTAGAAAATGTGGGTAACAGGCTCTACCAGTGGATCCGTCAGCACAAAGATGGAACTATAGAGCGGTTGCGGCCATTTCTCGTGACGGAGTTGGACTCTGGGACACTGGAGTATGATCTAACAGCCGACGACTTCAACAAGGCGATCTCACTCACTTACGTGGATATGAACGAAAAGATCGAAGTTTCCGGCAGAGAAACCACGAACAGTCGATGGGTTTCCTATAGTGACACTATGAAGCGGGCGCTAAAGATGATATGGGGTGCTGGCGAGGCCAAGTTCAAGGTTTTGCAGCTAAGGGAAGAAGAAGGGAGCAAGAAGAGCTACCTGGTGATTAGAAGGCCGCATTGCATGCTGGAGTGGAAGCGCTACTACTTGAAAAGGATGGAGATCAAGATCGCGTTCACCTCCCCGGCGGCCGGCATCAAAATATCCAAGGAGAATCCACAAATTTGCCAGCTGATCGATAACGGCGGCGCGGAGGCCTGCAAGATCCGATTCAAGAATGCGTTTGAGAGAGATTTGGCAGTGCTTACCTTCCGGCATTTCTTGCACAGTGCCTGTGAGAAGGGGAAGTGCTCGCGACGATGATGACACCCAAAATGCTGTGAGTCAACGGCACATAGCTGAAACCATTGGTGATTTCTTAGTAACAATGAAGAACCCCATATTACATAAGGGAAAGGACTGCAAAGTTTAGAACTTGCAACCTTTAGTAACGCAGGTGGAAGGTGTAGTGTCACGAGCTTCTTAGTCTCAGGATGGGTAGTTCTAAAAATTATTTTCTTCATTATGGGCAGCAGAAGACCTGAAATGATGGATGCATCAGTTTGGACCTAGCAAATAAGTCTTCTTTGGTTTGAATGGGGTGAAGCAGAAATATTATAATTAGTTTCCTTTCTAAGGGTGGGAGTTACTCTTGACCACATTTTTAAGGGGCCTAGCAATGTGAGGTGGTGCAAATAACTTTTCTGAAGGAAGTGGAGGAGAAGAAAATTTAATTTTCCACTGAAGTTATTAAAGCTAAAAAGACAAGTGGTGGAACTTATAAGAATATTCTTGGAATTGAAGAATTATTATTGCAATTGGGAGTGAAACAAGTAATTTATGATGGCAAGGGGAGGTACATCAACTAAGAGGGGAGGTGTATCTAAAGTGGGCAACCTTTATGCAAGCTTGCAAAATATATAAAAATAAAACACATGTATACTAAAATTGTTGTAATACACATGGATGACTTGCAAAATAATATTTTGAACACAACTATTTTTTTATGTATAGGCATGCATTAGTGCCTACTATATATGCATAACAAAATCTAGATCAGTGCCATGTATATGATTTTTGACACTATATAAATTTTATATGTAAATTTTCACTCTATGTCAAATTTTTAATATATCAGTAGAGTTTAAATTTTGGGTTAAAGCATGTAGTGCACAAATTTTTCACCCTTTACTCTATATTGATTTACTATAAGATAATCATGGAGTGGAACCATAACTCTTGGATATGTGGCCAAGTGTAGCAAAGCAGAACTTGAGTGTTAAGGCTTTGAGTGACTGAATAAAGGGGCAAAATTAAATTCCCAAACATACAATCAATGAGTGAAGGAATTAGAGCATAGAATAATTCATGAATGTACAACCTAAGGAGCAAAAGGACAAGAGTACAGAGTGATATTGGAATAATTCTAAAATATTTAATATCTCAATAATAGGACCAACATGCAAAACAAAGCCAAATAGTGTCTAACATTATTTTAGTAAATTAATGGCCTACCATGAAAATATAAATACTCTACTAGTTAACATAGTATGGAACTTAGGCTTAAAACCAAGCTAGATATAAAACAAAAACAAATATATAAATAAGGCACTTAGGTTGGTCAATTATGCTCAACTTACCTACTATCTCTACTATACATTTGAAACCCCCTACATCTTCGCCCCCTATAAAGGAACACACACTTTGGGCTTTCACCCCAGTCCAAGAAGTTAATCTTTAGAACAATCATGAAAACTTATTAAATATAGAATGTATTAAATTGCAAATTTGGATGCAAAAACAACACCATTGTATTTAGGATAATTTCTACATTCTGTAAATATGCCTAACTAATAAATCTAAACACTTTCCATAAATAGTAAATAAGACTAAATAGGACCAATATATAAGACATAATAAAGAGGGTGTTTTGGAAGACATAATAAGTTATCATCTAACAAGTATTAAGGGACCAAACTCAATATCACTAGGGTTCCTAACACTAGCAAATGTAAACTAATGAATGAGTTTCTCTAACCAATTTAAATATGTTTGACTAATAACATTTAGGAATGGTGTCTTTATGCTCCTTTGGCCAAGTGCACACGTGAAAACTAATTTTTTAACTAATTCAGGAAAAAACTAATAAAATGTTTAGCAATATCAACCTTCTGTCATCATAGCAATAAAGAAAAAATATCTAAAAAACTCACCGACAGATAACTTTCAATATCTATAATCACATTTAAGACACTCTCCCCACCTTAGGGAAGATCGATGTCTTCATCAATGTATACTCTAGTTTAGAGCACCACCAAGGAAAAATGTTTATAATGTTCATATTTTATAAGAAATGCATCAATTTAAATGAGTTAAATAGCAACTTTATTGTAGTGCTAGTTTATTGCAACCTTCTACTTGTGTCATAGCTTAGATTCTAGCTTGAGAGAGCATAAAGAATATTTTATATCCTTAGAATATTCTCTCATCTTTGTATATAAGCCCATAAAAGGCTTGAAGATATTGTTCCAACCCATTTTCTCTTACATTGACATTTGGTTTTGCAAGTTTATGAGCATGTGTGTGAGGGGGTGGTTGGGGCTAAGAGATGTCTTAACAACCTCTTTGTTTAACATAAATGCACTACCATTTAGACACCTTTTAAACATTCATTTTTTCACAATATCCTTTGTGTCTTTTCCTTTTTTCTTGGCTAAATTTCTCTTTTCTTTGTGAGAAAGTGGCATTTGTGGGAGTGATAGTGATTTTGATTAAGGAAGTCTATGTTAGGATACTCCTTTATTTGGAGTTATCCCATTTGGATACTCTCTTTTCACACAAATTACATGACCTGGCATCATTGTTGCACATTGGATATTGTATGCCAGTTCACACTCATTCCCATCAAAGATGACAAATCAATCTTCCATACAGTGCTTAGGGTATGGGATATTTTCATGCTTTTGACATGAGTTAAATTATCAAATTGCTCTTTCCAAGGAGGAGGATTCATTGTTCACCACAAATACCTAGTTGGGGAGTTTGCCACCCATAGCTCTTCCTGTATAAATCCATATTCTACAGTAAGGCACCAACTTGCCATACTTCTCTAGCAATGGTGACATCTCTATCAAGACATATATCACTCACTTTGAGCAATATTGTGCATCGAATGGTATTGTTGAGGATAATCACAAGCTCTATAACCTGTTGTGATCGCTTGCTAACTGAGCAGTAGTATAGACATGGCTAATTACTCCACATTCAAAGCATAATTCCAAAGTCACTTTGATCAATAGTGATCAGCAAATTACTTACTCATGGACTTGTTTTCTTTTTAGCAAGGAGCACACAAATTTATACGAAAGTATGTGATGCAATTCAGGTCTTATTGGAAGGAGTGTGTCCAGTGTAAGGTCATTACAAATGAACCTCATGGCATCACTACATTCATCTTTAGCCTCAAGGGAATCTCCTAACAAGATGCTCAAGCGAGAGTTTTGAATGTGTTGTAAGGCATTTGCTGCAGTAAAGACTTTGGAACGGGATCTTTTCCAAGAGTTCAAGATTTCTAGGGTAGAGGAGGCTTTTCTCCCACCCTCAAACAAGAGCTTATGTGCTGCTATGGTCCATTCTTCTCCAGCCCCACACAGCAATGATAGAGTTCCCTCAGTAATTGAGAAGGCATTGTCGGAATTTGCGGGATATAAGGAGATCATTTAGCAGCAACAACAAATGCAAGAGAAGCTGCTTGAGGAGCTTAAAGCATACCTTTTACAGAAGGCAAAGAGACCAAGAAACCCTCCTTATTCCTAATACTGTTCGCATTGCAATGTTACAACACATAGCATGGAGAGATGTTGGAAGCTTCACTTAGAAATTTGGCCACCTTCTGTCTAGTGGGTTCAGCAATAGCCTCTAGTAGACAACACACCTCTTCCATTACCAACAAATAGATACCAGTAACAACTAGAGCAGAAAGTGATTGAAGACACCCCTTCATCGAGCTGCAGGAAGACACCTATGCACATCAACACAGTATACATTACAAAGGACAGTTATCAAGTGGTTGTTGTGATGAGAGGGCACAAGAAAGGTTCCCCTTCAGCCCCAGATATTGATGGTGAGTAGGATCTAGTAGTAGTTTTTGGAACTTCACCCTCTCTTGTGGTGTGCAAATTACCTCATGCTTTGGTATTTGTGGCACCACCCACATCCTTAGGCACACCTTTGGATCCAGCTCCCAGACAACCTCCAAACTTTTAGAGTGGGACCTTCTAGCCCCCCTCCACTCTTTCTTAGGTTCCACAAGATGTTCTCGCTTAGATTGTTGGCACTCCCATCCCGATCACACTTGATGAGCTTTTGCGATACATACCCAATTTTACTTCTCAGTTGGAGGCTTTTGTTAAGTCCATAAGCATCCTCGTAGAATCTCAGCATGACATGTATATCATCAACACTCAGACCATTCATGATCCCGGAGCATTCTTCATGGAGGTCTAAATCCATGATAAATCCTTGAAGGCACAAGCATTATTTAATTTAAGCTCCCAAAGCAACATCATCTCTCTTGACTTGGTGCACTTTAGTGGCTTGGAAGTTTCTAGCAACACAGCTGTAATCCTTAGGACATTTGCCAACCACATAGTGATCCCTATAGGCATCTGTCACAACATCTAAATCTCGGTACATGGCATGATTTTGACACTCAAATTTCTTGTAGTGGATTACCAGCAGCTTGGATCTGGGAAGTTGAAGAACTTTGTCATGCTGGGACATCTGTGGCACCTTACTGCTACTTGCACAACAACTTGGGCCAAGGGAGAATTGACAATCACAGATGGCATCCATACAATGATTGTTCTCAATGCCTATGGCTGTTCTCTACTTCCATCCAACTTGTCTCAAGTGGATACTTCTTTTAGCACTAAAGTTGACTAGGCTCTCAAGGTTCTTTTCCTAGGATGATATGTTGTTGGAGATTTAAGTTGTTTAGTGCAATATTATTGACTTCTTCAACATGGATTAGATTATATCAACACTTGACTTCTCTAATATCACTACACAAATCTAGAGGCCCCTTGTCTTTAGCAAATCTAGGGATTTCATATTGATTCCTTTGCTACTACACAGTGAGGAATCCATCCAAGTGGTGGTTTCTCCAACAACTTTTCCAACTCCAACACCACTTAAGAAGTCACAAGGGACCCCTACCAAGGATCCCTCAACAATGACATAGAGTTTGGATGTATTGCATGTGAGCTTGGGTGTCAATAATTATGAGATAAAAGTTTGCGACACAATCCTGAGGTAGTTCCTGAGGATAAAGTTGATGAGTTTATGGCTATTGGGATTAAAAAGCCACTATTTGACCACTTTCTTCTAGGCAAGCATCCACCTCTAGTTGCATCCTGTGAATACCCAAGAGTGGTAATACTTGGAGTGGTATTATGAGTTGTCTACTTCTTCCCATAATGTGGAGCTAATATCTAGAGCATATATCCACCCATATGCCACAATTTT